TAGGGACCCCAAAATACGGTACCCCCGTCAATTTCGGAGCCTCCCATATAAACATGACCGCTTGGCGGCATAAATGTCAACTTGAGGCCCTCGGCTACCACCAAGAACACAAAATACGGGATACTACTTTAGGGGGGGGGGGGGGGGGGNNGGTCCTGATTATAATTAGGGCGTAAGTTACCCCCAAGCCCTATTCTAATTATCTAAAGCCCCCGACATTATGAGGAAGTTGAAGGGGTGAACTGAGGCGATGGACGGTCAAGCAAGAAGGTGATGTGCTTGCTTCGGACTTTAGTAAGCAATGAGTAAGGCCAAGGGCGAAGTGCTTCTGCTTGACCGTTGAACAGTTGCCAGTTGCAGACGAGCACAACCCAAACCTAGCCAAGCTGATTTGCAAAGTCGTAAAGAATAACGCTATCGGTACTTGCTAAATCAAAAGATCATCCAATGATGAATGTAGAAGCAACAGCAACGTAATCACAACGATTAATGACAAACCAACATTCATACTGACTCTGATGGCCAAAGTTCCGTCAAAGAGGCGTAAGGGCGGAATGAAGTCAGACAGCACGTCCTAGACCGTTCCCAAAACCCGAAAGCCGAAATCAAGCTGATCCTAATCTCTTCTGCAGCTATGTAGAGCTTCGCATCTCTAACCTTAAAGCCCGAAACCCCTGTCCTTGAGAAGACGAAGCGCTTCGTCCCTTGGCATGCAAGGGATGGGGCACTTGCGGCCCCAAGGGGTTTAGGGTGTTGATCAGGGTTTGGAGCTGAGGTTGGTTGTGTGTACATGGCTTGGGATCAATGTCTTCGGGTTCAGGGTGAGCTGCTTTAGGGATAGGATGTGCGACCGTAGGGATTGGATTATTAGAGCTCGACATCTGCGATAGCCTGGAACGTTTCGGGCTCTTTCATGCCCACGTCAGGAGATCTCGGAATCTGGCATTCAGGGGCTTGCTGGGGCTTGAGCACTTGGGATTCAGGGTTCAAGAGGGCTCAGCGTTGCCACACAACGCTACCTCAATGCAGGAACGCATATCTTCAAGGTAACTGTGTAAGTCATTCCTTCAGAGACCCACACTGATCTGAGGGGCCTGCCATCGCCCATCTGCGAAATAGGTATTCATGGCAGCGTTGAAGGTGCAGACATTTGGAGCCAGTGACAGCCTCAGCGTCTTGTTCATGAATATGAAGATTATAATGATGATGATAAATGATGGCGATGATGATGATGGTGATGATAATGATGGTGATGATGATGAAGATGATGATGACGATGATGGTGCTTATGACAAATCGGGTGATGAAGAAAGATTGCGATTACAGTCATGGCGATGATGGGGATGCTGACGGGGATGACGCGACACCGATGATGATGAACAAAGGAAACGTATGGACTACGCATGAGGATTGTTCGGGTGATGATGATGATGATGATGATGATGATAATGATGACGACGACGGCGGCGACGACGACGACGACCATGATGATGGACATGTCGCGAACCGTGACGACAGAAACGAAGATAATGAGGGCTGTCGTTACATGGTCACAGGAACAAGGTGATGCTGAAGATAGTGATTCCTACTCCTAGCCTACTGGCACAGCTACTGCTGCTCCTGCCACTACCACCACTTCCACGATACTGATACCACTCTCAGTGCCAGTCTTGGTGTTATTGGTGCTTGCACCAGTACTATGTTACTATATAGTACCATTAGTATCAGCAGTACACTTACTCCCGTACTCGGGCAGACACAGAGCTCACGAGGCATGCTGAGGCGCAAACCCGTGAAGGGAATGGAACAGTGCCAAGGACACATCCTCTCAAGAACATGGCTTAAGGCGTAGGGCTTAGGCGGCACGAGAAGGCTCACGACATGTGTGGCTAGCAATGATGCAGCCAAGTCATTACAAGCCACAGACGAAAAACAAACGCCCATCGAAACCTGTCTGTCTATGTACCTGTGTATGTATCTGTCTATGTACCTGAGTATGCGCATACACACAGAACTCAGTCGAAAGATATATGTATGTATTTATTTTTTTGACATACACATGCACATAAATGCATGCAAGCATGTATCTAAACATGACAACGCATGTTCTTTAACCCCCTATGGCCATTGCAGGAGCTGCACACATCTGCCCGGTCCCGCTGCCCGGCGGTGCTGCATAGATTCATGGCCTCAGAGTGTCAGAGGCTTAGGGAGTTCTTTGACAACCGGAAGTCCTCGATGCTTTGGGGTATGTTTGGTAGATTAACTGTAATATATGGAACCCCAAAGAGAAAAAGCATTGGTAGTTCTTCAGGCCTCTCAAGTTACCAGCACACTGGCGCTCCAACACCCCAAACAAGGGCCTCAAGCCGGTGACAGATCGCTGAGCCCTACCGTGCCCACCTCCACTCCCACCGTCCCACCGCTTCGGTGCTCCGGGGCGCCGGCGGTGTTGAGAACCTGCAGAAAGAGAGCAGGAACTCTCCAAGGCCCGATGCTGAAAGTATCCGAGGCTCTGCGCGTCTGCCAACGGAAATTGCAGATCTGGCTTTTGGATGTAAGGGTACAGCATCAAGGTACTCTGGTCAAGTTTGGATTGGCAGAAGCTAGAAGCTGTGCGATCTTGGAACTACAAAAACAGCACTTCAACCTCAAATTCGGAGTCCCTGACACCTGAAACCCCAGAAATTGAAGTAAGGGGGAGGGGGCTGAGAGTTCTTGCCTGCAGGAGACTCCCAAAACAAGAATATATAGCTAGATAATTATACATATATATATATATATATAGATGCAAGAACATATCTCTTCGCTTGTAAAGGGGTCCGTACTTTAGCTGGATGAATTTTGCGGCGGGGTCAAGGAATCAACCTTCAACCCTGGAAACATGCAGAAGCAGTTGCAGAAGGGCCTCCACATCCCAAGTCGAGGCATTTCCTTTGGCCTCCTGCAAATACACACAAACTCCGCAATACATCATGAGGACAGTGGACAATGGAGAATACACTGTGAGTCGCCACTCTGCAGCCTCTGACGAACAAGCAGTGGTAATTTCCGTAGCTGCCTCAGCTTCCAACAGTACGACTGCCACGATCCAGCTTCCAATTGCTCCCTCAAGAAATCCCGAATGTGATCGAGAGAAGATGGACCCTAAACCCTAAGCCGCAAGAGCGTTGAAACCCCTGTCCAAAGTGCCGAAGCAAACGTCTTAGACTGATGACTCGCCCTAAACCCTGAAGGCAATGGGCAATGATCATTCAGCCTGCAACCCAGAACTCTGCGGAATCCCCAAACCAACAAAACCATCAACCCCGAATCCCAAAGCGTAAGCCTCAGAACCCTCTAACATCCTTGTATAGGGGCCCTGATACTTAGAATAGGGCTGTGCGGGTGTATACTATAAAAATTGCAAGAACCGAAACCCCAAAAAATAGTATCAGTAGTGCTTCAACCCCATTGTAAAAAGAGGTTTTGAGGGGGACGGCAGGCAGCCTCGAGGATAGCAAGGGCCAGGGGCCACTGGTCCACAGGAAGGATGCCAATAGCTTCCTGGCGCTTCCGGGCTTTGGGGCTTGCGGTTCCAGGGTTTAGGGTTTTTGGTTTACGGTAGATTCGTTCGGGCTTCGGGCGCTGGATTCTTGGGTTCCGGTGTCTGCGGTTTCAGTTGAGACGCGAAGGGGCAGAGTGCAGGGGTCGTGGTGTCAGTATTGTGATTGCTTGCCCACACGGGTTACACGGGACTGTCGGAATAGGGTCTTCAGATTCTGCATAGAAGCCCTACATCTACAGAAGCAGGGACACTCACACGAAAAGTACAGCATTGCACGGCCTTCTAAGACAGAATAGCACAGCCTTAGCATTATCTTGCGGTACACCATCACACTATAGTACCGAATACCGAGCACAGCAGTGCAGCATATTAACACAAGACGGCACGGAATTGAAATGTCATCAAACCCAAAGGAAAAAGAGAGAGAGATAGACAAGGTTTACCATCAAGACACATACACACACACACACATATGTGTATCCCCGGCTGGGTGAGACCCCTAACCGAAGCCAATGACAGCAGTTACCATAGCCTGCTTCCAAACATGCTCCAACCCGTGGTCGGTTCCTCATCGGTGTTTACCTTGTCAGGAGATCCGTACCAGCCCTGGAAACAATGGGAAAACCTGAGGCCCCAGAAACAAACATCTTCGCAACCCCGAAACCGCCTCGATCCTCACACAATCCTTACAGAACTAGGGTCCAGGCTTTTCTCTTCGTGTCCGGGGTTCAGGTGTTATAGTAACCCCCAAACCCGGGGCCACCGAACTAAGATGCGAGCACTGAACAGCCGGCCAGTCGGGACGAAGCGCGCCTCGGCTTTGAGCCACCAATGGGGGGGGCTGTTGTTCAGACAAGCTTCGCAAAGTTATGCGGGGCTCCGAAGAGAAGGTCAAACTCCTACGTCCTACTGTTGATGGACAAAACTCTGCATGACCCAAATATAGTATAGGACCATAAATCCCATAGTTTAGGGTATAAGGTCATGCAAGATTTTGTCCATCAGCCGTATTGCCTATGCTTTGGGGCTCAGGATTGGGGCGTCGCCTTCAGCCCGGAACCCAAATCCCGGAATTGCCGGAAAGATGCCTTGCCATCAACTTCGTGACCAAGCTCCCCGACCCTCAAAACCCCAATCCCCACTCCCCCTGAAACCCGAAACCCCTCAACCCTACAGACCGGAAACCCGCGAACCCCCAAACCCTGAACCCGAAACCCTAAACCCACAACTCCCTCATAAACCCTAGACCCCTAAAGCCTAAACCCTAAACCCCCAAACCCGAAGCCCCACGAGCCCTGCTCTCAGCTGGACACATGCCACTTCACACAAAGCAGGGCCAAGGCCTGCTTTCTGGGCCATGCGTGACTGTGTCCCCTACTTTCAGGGTTTAGGCTGAGACCCGTACGTTACACTCCAAAGGGTTTAGGCTGCGGGCTAGTTTAGACCTGCGGGTTCAGTTGCGAGGTGGTTCTGTGTCGATTCTTCAGGGTCTCACGTCTTTATGTACTGGGAAAAAGCTTTTAATTAATTGGTAAGGTTTCCGGTAGTACACTGTGCTGCTGTTTCATGCGTGGTGATGACACTCACAATGACTACATCGCTTGCTGCCCTGAGTCTTGCTGTTGCTGCTGCGATGGCTATTATGATGGTTCTGGATTCTGCAGTACTGCTGCTGCTGCTGCCGCTGTGGGTTGCCCTGAGTCTTGCTGCCGCTGTTGCTGCTACGATGGTGTGTGGTATGTGCGTGGCTGATGTTTTCTCGGGTTGTCTGCGACGGGGTAGGATGGGATGTGGCCGGCAAAGGCAAGGAAGCCTCGCCCAGGTCGCAGCAGTTCGTTCGGGTACCGCATGTGACAGCAAGCATTCCACGCCCGGCTTCAGACTTGGAGGTTGTGGGCTTTGCTTGTCTACTCCAGACGTGCTTACTAAGCGAAACGGAACGTTGCTAAAGCCCCTGCCCACCCCAACCCCGAACCCGCCACCCGAAAGAGCAAGCAGACAACATCACCGGCAACGGCAAAGACCTTCAACAGCGCAAAATGCCGACAACCTCTAAAACGTAAAAGTGCAAAGGTTCAAGACAAAAACAGAAGCGGCTCCACGAAGTGAGGAATATACCACGCAGGCCACGTTTTTGAACTTACAAGGAAGTCGCAACCAAAAACCTACCGCCGACAGAGCGGAACATATGCGACAATGCGAAAACCTCGTGCAGGACGGTGTTTTCCATGGCAGCAAGTGGCTGTGGTGAGCGAGACGGGGATGCAAAGGCATGCAAACAACAGCAAAAGCCACCCCGCAACTGAAGCCACTAATTAAGTAGGTTAGGGCGGATCCTGCACCCTCAACTGCATGGGGTCCTGAACATGAGCACCCAGAGAACCAAAGGGTGAGGGTTTCAGGCAATGTTTAGGGTGTATGCAGGGGGGGCTTCTGGAGCAGTTAAAGAGGGATACGGACCAGAAGAACATCATAAGCTCTTGATCTCAAACTCTGAAACGTAAACCAATCCCTAAATTCAACCCTCTAAACTGCAGCGCTATACTCCAAACTCCTGATACCTCCGGAAAGACTCTGAGCTCTTCAGCTGGCCGGACGTACGGCAAGGCAAGGAACTGCAACTGTAGCACTACTTCGGGTTCTGGCTGATGGCTTAGTATGGCGAGGATCTGGACATGCCCACCCTTCCACCGATGGCAGGTTTTCAACGAATTCGAACAGGCACTTGAAAATTGCTACGGGCCACCGATGAAGAAATAGCCCAGACAAGAAACGAGCCGGCAGGTGAGGCACATGTGTTGCAAGCTGAGCCTACCACTGATTGCGGTCGCTTTCTTTCGGTATGTAAAAACAGTGGCTGCATCAGAAGAGACTGGACTGGGCATGTCAGAACCATAGGATACGCAGGCTTGAGTCGAGGGTTTAGCCGAAGCTATAGAGTACCCATCGGCCCTAAAGTAGTTCCTTTTTGGGGTTCATACATAGAATCCTATAAGGTAGCCCCTAAAAAGGAACTACTATGGGGCCTATGGGTAGCGTGGTAGACTGTGAATCTTGAAAAACGCTTAGCTTCATGCTACGAGGACCCGCATATGCAAACCATGCGGAAGCTGCTTAAAGAGCTCCAGTGAGCTTCAGACGAACCAAAACTCAGCCGACTGGCGCCTCTTCCCAGAAAGAGGCCTCCCCCAAGCTTCTGATCGCCGTGCGGGCATCCTTGCACGCGGGAACGCAGCAACGAATGCTTGGCCGGGGAGGGGAGTTGGGAAGTTGGGGAGTTGGGAAGTTGGGAAGTTGGGGAGGGGCGTGTCTTCCGCAGAGTGCTTGGAAATGGACGAGGGCTTCTTACAAGGGATGCAGGCAGCGTCTATAACGACTCACACAGTGCAGCGCTCGCCCTCCTCTCTCTCTCCGCATTGGAGCACGCTTGCTCTCTTTCGCAAGAACTCAAAGAAATCAAAGAAGCAAAGTCCCTCTAACGGCCCCCGCTCAATGCAGCACTGGATATCGAGCCGCTTGTTCATACCACATCGAGCTTTGGCTCAGGGCCTCCGGTCTAGTTTCTTGGTCTGAGTTCAATCTCTCGTCCCGTGGACGCATGACTTGCTGCGGGCATTTTCCACAGCGGAGCAAGAGCGTAGGGAAAGCTGTGCGTTCGGTCAGATGGCCTCAATCAAGAGTCGTGAACACAGCATCGTTCAACAGAAAATCGCGACTGTAATCTAGTGGATTCGTCATACATGATAGCCAGATAATGGCCAAACACAGCCATCAGCAGGCTCCATTTGGAGCCAGGCATGGTGCGGAGTTTTCCAGACCATTCCAGAGCCCATCCCGCAACAACACGCGAAAATCAGTACAATGACGGGGGCAAATGCGGTTGCAGCTGCTGCACCCTTGAGCTGCTGGGAATGAATCACGGATCAGGCTCTACACCACATCAAGCATGTTTATTTTTGTACCTATATGAGTGGTGCAGTTGCTGCTGCCGAATCAAATCACCCAAGACAGAACTATCTTCTATCAAAAGGCTTCCTCTACTAAACTGTCCTCTCTGCTCAAGTGCGCTTCTGCATTCAGGCCGATGGGCTGCGCGGTGGTTGTCGCGCTGGCCTCAGTATAGCCATTCGTGGCAACCCGAACGCGAAAGCTGGATGGCAGACATGGGCAAGCTCTTTACTGCAATGAAGTGAAACATCATGGGCACGTGAAAACAATGCCAACTTGGAGAAAGGGAGTTGTTTGCCTCGCTCTGAAATAGTTGCGTAGAACAATTCTGTACAAAGGCAAGGAGCTGACTCTGAGAATGCAGCCTTTGCAGTGCTCCTCCGTGGACAGCAAACGTACAGGTCAATCATGAGTAATCCTGAGATCCACGTCAAGATACAAGGTGTGCCCGAGCGGCTGCGCATGACAAGTTAAGTCCAAGCTCTAAAGACAGGCAATGCTCAGAAGTTGCGTCTAGTTTCTTGCAGGCACTTTACACGAAAGTATGTCATGGAGTGACAGCGACAACCAAATGAGTACGCGAAATGAAGAAACACCAACACAACAAAATTTGTCACAACGTTTGCACCAAGCATCCCAGGAAAGGAAGGGCAGGGGCCAAACTTGGAGTGTACGTGATCGCGCGGACAAACTCAAAGAGCATCCATGGCAAGCCAGACACAAATATGGTTGGAAGAACCAACAATGCTGCAGTGACTGCCCGAATCGTACGCTTGCAACCTGTTTTGTTGCACCTCATCCAACGATTGCCTATCCCACAAAAGACCACAAGAACTTGCATTGAAAATACAGCGTTGAGTGGAAGAATCGCCCAGTGCAGTAAACATCGAACCCACCACACGAAAAGCTCATAGCCCACAAAATCGTTGCCTAGAGCTGCATATATGGGAAAGAAGTAGACCAGGTACCATAGACTTGGGCTGCATACCATAAATATGGTAAGATCCATTCGGATTGCGGTTGTTCCCATAGAGCGCAGCACCCTTGTAGCCAAGTCGCCGCGCACCACAGCGTTAAAGATTTCCAAGTAGTGCTCAGGCCTCTCGTTGCCAGTCTCTGCATCACGTATGCTGCCATAGGCTTTGCGCAAGGCTTTGTACACAAGCCTCCTATCACATGGAATGTTTTCTCCAGTAACTGGATGCCGATGATTGTTTGAACAACACCAGCATTTCGAGCTCTGAATGTCGAACCCAGCCAGCTGCTTAGGAAGTTCTTCGATGTCCTCCATCAGCTGCATACAAATGTAAAGGCTCAGAGCGACTGCAAGAAATATCGCAGCCGCAAGAGCAAGGACAAACATAACCTGCGACAAGACGGAGGTGTCGCTTGGTGCGGCTAGCGCCATACTGGCACCATATGTCAACTGCATCAACATGGCATACACCAGCTGCAGAACTGCTGCCTTTGTCGGCATCATCTGTATCGACTTCAGCTTTGCAGGGTCGCGCATGAATGTTGCGAGCTCATAGGCACACCAGATGCGCGAAAAATACCGCGGCGTGTGTGTGTGTGTGTGTGTGTGTGTGCTCTACAGTGCAGTGGCCTACGCCCCGAAGGGTGGCTTGCTGCACCAACGGGCCGCCGAAGCGGAAAGAAGA